ATCAACCAATAGAATTTTAGTAATATTAAAAAATGATCTACAAAAATTAGCCAATCACAATGAAAGCCCGCTATGCTATTCTAGCCAATCTTTTGGGTATGTAATTTGAGGATCCAGCCTGATACCATGGTAGTGATCTGGTAGCTATTGTGGAACTGTCATAGAACTGTTATAGAACTGGTAGTTTGCCAGCTTGGATGCTAAGTTGTTATATCTAAGTATCTGGCCGAAATTGTGAAATAATGCTAGCCGATATTGTGTTTTACTGCACCAGTCATGTGACTTTTACTGACTCGCGGGTCAGAGAATTCGAAATGCAAATATAAATATATCATATCTTGTCCTATAAAAAATCGTCAAAGAAGATACCAGAAGTACTTTGTTAAGTTTTTTTATCGTCCTTATAAAAATTTTCTATCCCTATAAGAAAAATTCTTGAGGACGCTCTTAGGGATAATCTTGATATCATTTTTGGACTTCTTAATACCCCTAGTAAAAGTAAAGTTATAGGAAAAAAATATCAAATCCATCCTATATATATGCCGTTACCAAGAAAATTTATTAGTAACGCTCTTAGTGACACCCCTGTATACTTTTTTTAAAGTTTGAAGACGTTCAGTTATCTTTTTTTATATCTGTCATTATGTCACTAAGAGTCACTAAGAAAAAGTAAAGTTCTAGGAAAAAAATCGAATTTTCTATGGGTATCAGTATGGTATATTTATCGGTATGCTATATATATATGTTATATGTATGTTATATTTTTACTATACCTATAGATAAAAAAAAAATAAAAAGTAAAGTAGTCTGATTTTCTTAGTGACTCTTAATGGCATGGTGATACACATCTAAAAACCTTTTGATGGCTCTAAAAATACGAAATAGCTATAAATTTTATCACCAAGAACGTTACTAAGAACGTCATCAAGAAATTTCAGCGAATTGAGTTCATTCAAAAGGTCATAGGGATAGTGACAACTTTTTATTCTTATTTAAGTTCTTTTGATTAGCTTAAAATTACTTGAGCAGAATCTCTTTGGGACCATCAGCTTGCTTAGCCAGCTTTTTCTGATGGTAATGTTCTTTTGATCTATATTTTTTTGCATACATATCGCAATAGTCATATTTAGATCTTGTCATCTCTTTACATCCGCTTTCTTTGCAAGCAACTTATCTAGAATCCCGATAGACTTTACATCCTTTTAGATTATAGCATCTCTGATTACACACTTCACAGTCCTAAGAATATATGAACAATAATAAAAATTCCAGGATGTCACCTTTTTTCCGCCTCCTATTTATGTATATCGATTAATAATCTCAGATAATTAATTTCATTTTAAACTTTTTTCTTGCGAATAATATACCTTGAGATTTAGTATAACTATAAATTATCGTAAATTGCTTGAGAAAAAAAATGACCAAACAATCTGAGCTTTCAGAGTTCCTCGACGCGCCCTTCGCCCTTTTTCACTCAGAGGCCGAAAAAGATAAAATGATAGGTCAGGTGATCAGATATTCTGGCGAGAATTACTTGATGGACATCCTAACTCGTGATGGTTTAGTTCTTAGAAATGATGAGGAGTCGACTTCAACTCTCAATAACAAAATAGCGAACTATTAAGATATTCCATTCATGCCAGTCGATATAGAAGAAGCTAAAGAATATATTAATAATATCCCCCATTATATTCTTCGCCTTTATGGGTATCTCGTTAATGGCCAGAAAGCAGTTGTTACTATTACTGGCATCAAGGTATTTTTCGATATTCGTGTTCCTAACAATGCAAGCATCCCTAAATTCTGGTACAAAGTAAAAAGTATACTTTCTACTGGAAAAGACAGTAGGGGGAATATTGTGAATATAAATCTAATCCAGATGGAATGTATAAAGGCATATCCTATTCGTGGTTACCATGTGGAAAAAAAGCCGTATCTCTGTATTATCGTATCTAATAGAGATAAAAGGTTTACTGCTCTCGATATCATCTCAAGCTACAATTCAAAAGTTGATCCTGAATCTAAAATAGAGACAGCTTCAGACGATACAGGCACATATTATCGTAAAGTTACAAGAGAGTATCAGATACTACTTTTCGGCTGGGGATTGATAAGTGATTATAGATATAATTTCAGAGCACCATATTATGCGAAATCCCATCATTGCCCACATGTGTTTTATGTCCAGATTGATAACTTTCGTCCTATAGAGAATTTTGAACCACTTTATGAAATCTATCCATCTTCTCTCTTTACTCGCGATCGAGCATTAGTTCTAACATGAGACATAGAAATATATGATTCACGCAGATCAGGAAACTTCCTAGAAGCGAAAAATAATACGTCCCAAGTTTTTACAATCTGCATGACCCTGCACTAGAAAGACAACCCAATTCCTCTAGAGAGGATATGTTTAGTTGATGTAGAAACAAAACCAAACCCACGCTAGATCACAATTATATGCAGAAATCAGACAAATCTCTTAAAGGCATTCGCTCTATGTTGAAAATCTTTTGCCCCAAACATCCAGTTCAGTTTTAACGATTCAGGATACGATTGGCCTTTCATTGTAGAAAAGGCCACCAAATTAAATGTTTTTCAGTGGATGGTTCAGTGGATATTGGCAAACCCGCATAAGAAAGCTGATGCTGAATCCATCCTCACTTGGAATTATTTTGTAGAAGAGGGGAACCACTAACTAATGGTTTCTTCCAAAGGAGCCAATGGGTAAAGAAAGTGGACAAGGATCCCAAAAAACCATTAGGCTGAGATTCTATCAATATCAAAATCAACTCAACTTTGACGTTTGAATCCTCCTTTCTTAAGCTCCCAGGATGCGTATCTATTGATGTTCACCTAAGTTTTATGCAACTCCACCCCTGTTCTGAGAAAACATCACTCAAATACTTCTTAGAAAAATGTGGTCTCAATAGCAAAGCTGATATGCCCATAAGCAAATTATGGAAGTATTATTCGGAGGCCAAGAACAGAACTTCTGATTCTTCCATCAGAAATATGCACGAAATCATAAATTATTGTATTATAGATGCTTTACGTTATCAGGAGCTCATGATCAAATGTAATATCATAAACGATTATAGAGAAGTCACTTTGATAGCATACATAACTTTATTTGACATGCATTATTACGTCATAGGAAAGAAAGTATACAATCTCTTAGATGCTAAAGTGTAGGCGCAGAATATTCTATTTACCATGAAAACTTCTGAGCAGAAAGAATCTGGGAAGTTTTCAGGAACGTATGTGTTCCCTTCAGAGAAAGGTCTTAAGAATAAACATCCTGTGATGGGTTTGGACTTTGCTTTCTTGTATCCTAGCATAATTATAAACTACAACCTCTCTTCAGAAAAGATGGTATCAAGACTTTCGGAAGCAGATGCGCTAAAAAGCGAAACAAAGTACTTCACAATATTGAATTTCGCTTTAATGGTCAGGACATGTGAGCATGGATCATACGGCATGAGAATAAATCCGATCAGAAAGGTCTGTTTTCAAAAATATTAGAAAATTTGCTTATCATGCGAAATAGAGTAAAGGCTCAGCTAAAACTTCTCAGAAAGAAAAAGGACTATATGAGAGAAGTTAAAAGTAGAATGAATTCGAATAGCATCGGCGGATCTTTCTCGGTGATGAGCACAATCAAAGATGTTTTATTCTCGACAATAGATAAGAAGAAGCATGCCGAAATAGCTGATATCCTGAATCCTTTTATTGGTTCATTGTATGATGGTTTCAGTAAAGAATATGATTCTATCTGTTTTGACCATAATTCTTTGAATTCGAAGTAGAAAGCGATTAAATTATTTATGAATTCATTTTATGGTGAGATAGGCAATAACGATTCCCTGTTCAAGTTTATAGAACTCACTGAAGGTGTTACTTTGGCTGAACGAGAAAGTATCAAACTCATTGCAGAATTCATGAAAAAGAAAGGCTTTGGGATTAAATACAGTGATATCGATTTCCTATATCTCATTTGCCCAGATTTTTGTTATAAGGAATGTGATTTAGTCTACAACGACGAGAAAGGCACAATCTTGAAACTAGAGTACTAGACCAAAATGGTCAAAATTACTATGGCCGTAATGGAGAAATTGCGCAATGAAGTAAACACCTTTCTTAGACTAAAAACTAGATTGGATTATCTTATGAAGAAGTATTATTCCCAGTAGTATTCACTAGGAAGAAAAAATATTTTGGCATCTCCCATGAAGATACCCTAAACTTCAAACTGAAAAAGCTTTTTATAAGAGGAATCGATACTGTGAAATAGGGTAAATCCTAAGTTTTCAAAACTATAAGAGATCAGATTATGTGAAGAGCCATGGATGTTAACAATGACCAATCACTCTATAATATTGCTGAAGACGTTCTCAGGGATGCTTTAGTTAATACTAAATAATGGAATTTCGAACAGTTTATATTGACTGATGCATGGAAACCTGATAAAGACAATAAAGCTGTTCAGCGATTTATAGGACGAATGGGAGGAGAACATGAGAGTAAAATTCTGATACCAGGTGAGTGCTTTAGTTATGTAGTAACCCATCCTGATACGACCTTCGATTTATATAGTAAAAAATTAACGCTAACAAAAGGTGAAAGAATGGAATTCGTTGATGTGACGAAGGAATTGGGTAAGGAGCTAGATTTATATCATTATTTCAAAAAAACTATTATTGGCCTCTATGTCCGATTTATCATGTATGATAAGAGGTACGAGCCAGCTCTTTTAGATAAGATAATGCAAATTAAGGATCCAGATGAGAAATATAAACAAATAGATGATTACGTACAAAGAAGGCCAAATCATGACTTAAGGATTTCGTGAAAGAGAATATCATAGTTAATAGTGTTACTTCCAAGATGATGATATCCCGCAGAAAGGCTTATAAGCACGCCTATAGAAGCACGGTCAAAGAAGCACAAGAAATGTTGTATCAAAAGATAAGTAGTTCATATGAAATATTTCATGGTGAATGGCTTAGCTATGAAATTTTCATAGTAAGTAACCCTGTCAAGGTATTATGGGAGAAATTTATGAAATACGCTAGGAAAATCTCAAAAGATAAAAACCTCTCAGTAGATGACAAAATGAAGGAAAAAATATGCTCTAATTTTGCTCGATATCCTAGCGAGCTTGCAAAATGTATTGAAGAGTATAATTTATTCTTTTACAAATTGGTCTATCATATGCGTTATAAAGAGCATGTATCAATTCTAGAAGAAATCAGCCCAGTTTCATCTATGCAAAAAAAATGAGATAATTGCTGACCTACCTGCCTTACCTCATATATCAGAAATTGGGGTATTAGATGACATTAACAATTTATGGTATTTCCATCTTGAGGATGTGACCGAAAGTACTTAGATAAGTTATATTGTCAAGTATTCTTAGCTGAAATTGCCACACCTCTGCTAGAATACTTGCAACAT